AAAATAGCCTCTTTTTTTTTTTTTTAACCATGCTGGGAACAAATCAGGGCCTCATGCATGTTAGGCAAGGGCTCTACCACTGAGCTATATACTCCCAACCTATGGAATAAAATAGAAAGTTCAAAATTGACCCAATATACTTAGGAATGTAGTTTCTGACAATGAAGGTATTTCAAGTCAGTAGGGAAAAGACGATGACAATATGATCATAACTTGATAGTCAGTTGGAAAAAAGTTTTTGATTTCTACCTCACATTTCATATTAAGAGAGTGTTCAGTGGATTTAAACGTAAAAGATGAAACCACATAAAAACTAGAAGAAACCGAGAGTGTTTTTTTATAATATTGAACTGGAGAATTTTTTTAATATTATTTTTTAGTTTTAGGTGGACAATATCTTTATTTTACATTTATGTGTTGCTGAGGATCGAACCCAGTGCCTCCCGCATGGTAGGCCAGCGCTCTACCACTGAGCCACAATCCCAGCCCCAAGAATGTTTTTTGTTTTTTTTTTAAGTATGACGTAAAACCTAGAAAAACTGATAAATTAAGACACATAGAAAATAAAAGCTTTTTCCATGATAATAAATTGGGAAAGTATCTATTATTCATATGTAAAAAAATAAGTAATGAGAAAAAAGTTGAATAGGAAGACGAACTGAAAAAGGAGCAAACAATAAAAAATATAAATGAAGAATTCAAGATCCACCCTTCCAGAAGAACTAAAACATATGATATATTGCTTAAGCTCACTCGCAATAATAAAAGAAATGAAAAATAAAGGTGCCTCTCAGTTTTCACCTGATAGCAAGGATAAAAAAGTTTGATAACACAATGTATAGCTCAAGATGTGAGTTAATAAGCACTCTTATTTAATGATGAGAGAATAAATGGATACAGCTGGGTGTGGTGGCACAGGCTTACAATCCCAATAGCTTGGGAGGCTGAGGCAGGAGGATTGCAAGTTCTAAACCAGCCTCAGCAACAGCAAGGTACTAAGCAACTCAGTGAGACCCTGTCTCTAAAGAAAATACAAAATAGGGCTGGGGATGTGGTTCAGAGGCTGAGTGCCCCTGAGTTCAATCCCCAGTACCAATCAAAACAAGAAAAAAGCTACATGGAGTACTTTGTCAATATTCATCAAAATAAAACAAAAGTAACTAATGTTGGGCCATGATGGCCCATGACTATAATTTTAGCTACTCAGAAGGCTGAGGCAGGAGGATCGAAAGTTCAAGGCCAGCCTCAGCAACTTAGCAAGATCCTGTCTCAAAATAAAAAAAAAATAAAAAGTACTGAAAATGTAACTCAGTGGTAAAGCACACCTGGGTTCAATCCTAGTACCTATAACACTACACATTGTGTTATCAACCTTTTTTATCCTTGCCAATCAGGTGAAAACTGACGTTCTCTAGTACAGGAATGGGCAATTAGATCACAATGTGTCCTTATAAAGTTATTATTTTTTGTGGTGCTGTGAATCAAACCCAGGGCCTTTCACATGCTAGGTATTCCCTCTGCCACAGAGCTACACTTCCAGTGCTAAAGCTAATTTTTATGAGGATCTGGGGGTATAGCACAGTAGCAAAAGAGCATGGTTGGGCTGGGGATATAGCTCAGTTGGTAAAGTGCTTGCCTGGCATGCACTAGGCCCTTGGTTCAATCCCCAGCACCACAAAAAAAAAAAAAAAAAAAAAGCTTAACATGCCTGAGATCCCTCGGGTTCAATCACCAACACCATAAACACACACACACAATTCTGAGGGGGTGGGGAGTGCATGCCTGTAATCCCAGCAGGAGGATCATATGTTTGAAACAAGCCTCAGCAACTTAGCAAGACCCTAATCAACTTAGCAAAACCCATCTCAAAAAATAAAAGAAGGGTCAGGGATGTGGCTGTGTTGAGAACCCCTGCGTTCACTCCCTGGTACTAAAAAAGGAAAAAAAAAAAAAAGTTAAGCCACCTTCAAAATGTAGAGCCCAGTGTAAAAAGCAAAGTACAGAAGTGTTTATACCAGGCCACTGCTTGAATACAACTTTTATACACATGAATATTCTCTTGAACACACCTTGGGAATGCAAACCAAGAAATAGGATATGAGTGATGACCTATACCTATGTGATGGAAACTGGGGACTGAAAAGCAGGTGGAAGAGGACTTAATTTCCATTCCATGCTCTTTTTTATTTAGGTTTCTGTACTCTTCCTTTCCCAGGGCCTTGTGAATACTAAGCTGATACTCTGTTACTAAACTACACCCTGAGGATATATATTTAGAAAAAGGAAAAAGAAAGAAAGTTTATTGCTTTGCTGGCAAAGAAACACAGGAGACTCCAGTCCCAAAGGCTGTGTGATTTTGCCTATCCGCAGGAACAGGATATATCTTTTTTTTTTTTTTTATCCTGTTCCTGCGGATAGGCAGAATCACAATATATCTTTTTTTTTTAGTTGTTGATGGACCTTTACTTATTTATATGCAGTGCTGAGAATCGAACCCAGTGCTTCATCAAACCCAGTACCTCGCACATACTAGGCACACATTCTACCACTCAGCTACAATCCCAGCCCCAGGATATATCTATTTTTAATCAACTAAATTAACATAAAATATTTTCACTGGGCAAGGTGGCGCACACCTGTAATCCCAGCTATCCAGGAGGCTGAGGCACGAGATTCACAATTTTGAGGCTAGACTTAGCAATTTAGGGAGACTCTGTTTCAAAATTTAAAATTTAAAATGAGTCCACACTCTTTTATATGATTTCTTTGGCACATGAGGTGATGCCAGCTATATCCTCTTTAAAAGTAATTTGAACCAGGTGCAGTGGTGCATGCCTATAATTCTAGTCATCTTGAAGCTGAGACAGGAGGATCACAAGTTCAAGCCAGCCTGGATAACTTAGTGAGAACATATCTCTAAAAAATAAAAAGGTCTCAGGGTGTAGTTCAGTGGTAGGTTCAATCCCCAGTATTGTGAGAGAGAGAGAGAGAGAGAGAGAGAGAGAGAGAGAGAGAGAGAACGAACTGAACAAAACAAACAACAATAACAACAAAGCTTCAATTTTTAGAATCAATTTCAGTGCATTTCCAAGGTCAATTTTCCAACTTCTTCCCCACTATACTTGACCTCATTCTAGCCACACTGCTTCTGTTTCAGCTTTTGGAACAAGCCAACATCTTCCTAACTCACAATATTTGCACATGTGCTTCCCTCTGCCTAAATTGATGTTGCCTAGGCGCTTAACCATCCGTTGCATTTTCAACCTTGGGTTCAGGACCGGGGATGTAGCTCAGTGGTAGAATACTTGCCTAGCATCATAAGGAAACAAACAAATACCTGGATTCAATCATCTTTGCAAAGAAGCCAGCCCTGGCCACCCTACATAAAAATTATTGAAAATGCCTCTCTCGGCAAGAAAAGTGGGGCTTACATCTTAGACCACCCACTCTAAAGAAGAGAAGACCCTCTCTCTTTACCATTTTCATTACAATACCCTAATTTACTTTTTTCATAGCATTAGTCACTATTTGCGATTATTCTACCTCTAGACAAATTTTAGTGAAAGCGAGACCATGCCTTGATCCTAAAGCTCTATCTTCAGCAACCCAAACAATAACCATTTGCTGAATGAATTGATGCAGCATAGATTACGGACCATACACTGTTCTGCGGGATTTACTTAATCTTTGCAATCAGTAAAAGAGGCTGGTTCTATTACCCATTTATAGTTGAGGAAATAAAGATACAGTGCAGCTAAGAAACTTGCCCAATTAGCAGAGCTGGACTTCAGAGAAAAAAGTGTTTAGGCACAACGTGACCTTTTTTTTTTTTTTTTTTTTTTTATACAAAATATGGATGGATGAATTTGAACGAATGAATGGAAATGTGAATATAAACATTGATTCTTTGCGTCTCGGATTCCTTAGGCCTTCCGCAAGGGGGTGCTCTATCCCAGGTCTTGACGCCAATCATTTAAGGCGCGCGCTCCCTTTGCGTCTCGGGCTCGCGCGCGCCGCCTCGGCACCGGAAGTGACTGAGCTTGCAAGTTCCCCCCGGTCTCTTCAGGGGAAACTGAGGCCGGCTTGTTCGAGACAGACGGCGTGAGCAGTCCGCCAGGTAGGCCGACCGGGGTCCGCGGCTCGGAACTCGGCTGTGAAGAGCCCTCCCGTTTGGAAACCACCCGGCCGATGAAGGGGGATGTGGCCCCCCACGGCTCGCTGGGCTCGCAGGTGAGAGCGCCGCCTCCCCTGTGCGTGACAGGCGCTGCGCCCAATGGGAACTTTCGCCGTCCCGCTTCCGTGCCGACTGGACTCGCTGATTGGTTCTGATGGGGCGGGCCGCCGGGGGCGAGACCCCTCCTCCCAGAAAGGTCTAGGGGGCGCCCCTGAGGGAGGGCGGTTGCCTAGCAACGGGGCGGTGGCTCGGCGGGTACCCGGCCTAGCAAGCGCGAGAAGCCGCAAGGCGGTAGCCCACCCACCCTGGGCTCGGGAGAGGTGCTTCCCCCAGCCCCTGAGTCCTCCCTGGGGCTCCAGAAAGCCGCGTTGGGCCTGTCCCCAGGAAAACGTGGTCTCAGCTGTGGGGGGCCTAGAGCAGGCCTCGACCCCTCTTCCTGACCGGAGGAGAGGCCCAGCGCCTCCTCTTCACCCCGTCTTTGTGCAGGGCGCCGGCGGCCATTGTGTCCGGGCGGGGAATGGAGGACCTGGCAATCCCCCACCGCCACATCCAGGGCCTTTGGGGAATTCAAAGAAAACCAGCGACGTGTGGGGGGCGTCTCTGGCCTTCAGCCTCCCGGAAAGGCGCGGGGGTGGCCTTTCCAAAGTCAGAATCGTAGATCCGAGGCAGATTTCCTCCCCCTGCGTCGTTCATCGAAACCTTGAGACCCATTGAGACGTCCCTTCAGGGTTTCGGAAGCCTCACCCAGGGCTGGTACTTAAATAGGAGGGGAAAAAAAAAAAAAAAAAAAAAACTCCACCGAACCCATACCAGCCACCTCCGGGAGAGTTCTCCTGACTCCCAGTAGGAGGCGGAGAGCCAAGGGGCGTGCAAGAGCGAGGGGGCTGGGCTCCCGGGTGGCTGGAGGCCGCGGTTGCCGAGCGGAGAGGCTGTCCTCGATCCTGGCGATGCGAGGAGGAAGCCAGCGAGGGGGCAGGTTCCTGAGCTTCGCAATTCCTGTGTCGCCTTTTGGGCTCCCAGCCTACCAGGTCGCATGATCCCTCTGGCTGGAGCTGGTTTTTTTGCCAGCCGCCGTGAGGCCGGCTGAGTTACCGGCAACCCGGCCGCCACCTCCTCTCCCGACCTATGATACAAAAGATCTTCCGGGGGCTGCACCTGCCTGCTGTCGCCTGAGACGGATTTGAATGTAGGTGGTGCGGGAGGAGGGGGGTGCAGACTACCCATGGGGGTGACTTTCCGAGGAAGGTATTTCGGAGAAAAGGGGGTGGCCGGGGTGAAAGAGACCGATGGGATGATTCAGAGCCTGCTGGTCCTTTCAATTTGACTTCATTGAAGTCTCTTGGAACCTGGACCCAGACCTTCACAAGAGCCACAAAGAAACCAGTTCGGGTACCTGGAGGGGGAATGAGATGTTGTAGGATAAATGACATGCATATTAATTTTTTTTTTCCTGAAGCTCTTTCTTTCTCTTCAGAACCTTATCTTGGCTTTGGATCTTAGAAGAGAATCACTAAGCTGAGACCAGACTCAGTGAGTGAGCAGGTGTTTTGGACAATGGACTGGTTGAGCCCATCTCTATTATAAAAATGTCTCAGAGCAACCGGGAGCTGGTGGTTGACTTTCTCTCCTACAAGCTTTCCCAGAAAGGATACAGCTGGAGTCAGTTTAGCGATGTGGAAGAGAACAGGACTGAAGCCCCAGAAGGGACTGAATCAGAGGTGGAGACCCCCAGTGCCATCAATGGCAACCCATCCTGGCATCTGGCGGACAGCCCTGCGGTAAATGGAGCCACTGGTCACAGCAGCAGTTTGGATGCCCGGGAGGTGATCCCCATGGCAGCAGTGAAGCAAGCATTGAGGGAGGCAGGCGACGAGTTTGAACTGCGGTACCGGCGGGCATTCAGTGACCTGACGTCCCAGCTCCACATCACCCCGGGGACAGCATATCAGAGCTTTGAACAGGTAGTGAACGAACTCTTCCGGGATGGGGTAAACTGGGGTCGCATTGTGGCCTTTTTCTCCTTCGGCGGGGCACTGTGCGTGGAAAGCGTAGACAAGGAGATGCAGGTATTGGTGAGTCGGATCGCAAGTTGGATGGCCACTTACCTGAATGACCACCTAGAGCCTTGGATCCAGGAGAACGGCGGCTGGGTAAGAACCACGCCCCTTGTGTGTCCCTTTTCTTTGAAGACCTCCAACAACCCTATCCTCTATCTCTTTCTGCTTGTGTTGGTGATTGTGGGAGATGTTGATTGTTAGGAGAACTGCCTGGCTTCATTTCACCACAAGAGGTGAACTGTTTGGAAATCTGGATAACCCAGTTCCTGAAGGAACCACATCTTTTCATTCTGGTCACCCATATGACCCCACTCTTTTATACTTGTGTTCCAGTTTCTTAGCAAAGACTAACATAGCCCATGTGTTCATTTGGCTCAAAAGCTTTGAGACTGAGGAGTTCATTTGGTGTTTCCTTCCCCTTGATCCAATGGTTCACCATGCAGAGGGGTGGTGAACATAGTGCCTAGAGGATCTGATGGCCCACAAGCCCCTTCATCCTTTATCCTGCAATGGTGTCAGTCCTATCCTGGCTTCCCTTCCCCAAATCGGGTTCCCTTTATTTCAGAGTTTGCATGCACAGTCCTCTTCTCAGACCACTTGACCAGGCAGGAGTTCCCGCTAGCTTGGATGGCTGAGGATCTTCTGATTTTAGGGCAGGGTAGGCTGTGCCAGTTGTGTTTGTGCTGTGTCCCCGAGTTCATTTTACCCAAAGTGTGCAACTTTCTGCATGGTTGGCCTATTTGTAAAGCTCTTGCTGTGTCACACATAAGCCCTGGGACTTTGCACCTCACTGCTCAGGGTCGGTTGGGGAGCTCCAGCTGCTCTGCATTTACTTTCCGGCCAGAACCCAGAGGCCTCTTCATCAAGCACTATTTGCTGGCAAAGCAAGAACCTGGTCTGTGGGGCTCTGAAGAACATTAAGATGTGGTAACAGACTGGACCAGGGGTATAAGTCCTGGCCCTGTCACTTAACTGTGTTAACTGTGTGACTTTGGACAGGCTGGTTCACTTTTTTTTTTTTAAAGTTATAGGTGGACACAATGTCTTTATTTTACTTTGTGTGGTGCTGAGGTTCGAACCCAGTTTGAACTAGGCAAGCGCTTTACCTTTGAGCCACAAACCCAGCCCCTGGTTTACCTTCTTAAGCCTTAGTTTCTTCCACAGAAAATGTGGCAAGCTCTTCTTGTCTTGCAGAGTATTGTAAATCTTGGAGATAACATGAACACAGTAACTGATACCAGCAAGCTTCTTTTGGAATCCCCCTGCCCATCACCAAGTCAGCATGACACAGATGAGAGCTTCTTTTCTGGTGATCCCATGGGTGATTTTTACTCTTCTCTAGTGAACTCTGTCCTGTTTCCTTGCTTAAGCCCCCAGGCCCCCTAGGCCGGGAGATATGAGAGGTATTCTGTTCCTTTAGAATATTCAGAAAATCGACAGGCTGTAGAAAATAAGTCATCTATTGAAGGAGCCGAGGTGGAAGGGGCCTTGCACCCTGGACTCAGGAATGTCAAGAATGCGATTGTCCTAGGCCCTGCCTAGGGCGTGGCAGTACTTCACTTTACCACTGAGCAGGAGAACTCCTGGGTTTGCCCTGGAATCCACACCCTCTCTCATTTCCCATTTCTTTTCAACTTTATCAACTCTTCCCCACTGCCAGCTCTTGTAAAAGGCTAGGGGGTGAAGTCAATGGAGGTCAGATGACTGTGGGTGGAGTTGGGGGAGATAAAATGGTGGGAGGCGGTGGTCTCTTTAAAGCTAAGGGTGACCAGACTTGAAAGCCAATCTGTAAATGAACTCCCTGGGAGGATAAATGATTAAATAGTTTGTGTAGTCACGTCCTCTCTTCCCTCCTGCTTTGATTCTCTTTTGGGGCAAATATTTGTTCAGCTGATTACAGGAGGGACAGGATTACAGCATTTCAGACACACCCTCTGAGGCATCTCCAGGTAGGGACTTGAGCCCTTTGCCCACTTTGCCTGGCTATTGTCTTTGGCCCCTGGTCCTAATACCAGGTGGGTTATCAGCTATCAACAAAAGGCAGTCTGGTAGAGGTGCCTGATCTGCCAGCCTGCCTCTGCAGAGGGCTACCCTAACAAGAGAATTGCCAGCTGCCCAGTGTTGCATGTGAAAGGAGGCTTAGACACAGCAGCTCTGGGCAGGTTCGTTAGGTTTCCACTGGATTGAAATTCCATCTTCCATCTCTGCTCAAGAATTATCAGAGCCCGTTGGACAACATACCACATGTCACTTCCTCTTGGTGAACAGAGGGGATGTGTGCAGAAGAGCCAGTTATGTCAGAACCATTTCTGGGCATGCCTTCCTCCCCTGAGGCTAGGGGGTGGAGAGAATATTTGACTCAGGATCCTTTGAGCCTGGGTAGAAGAGACCTGCCCACTTCCCTCTCAGGTGTTGTCCTGCTCCGAGCCGCACAGACTCGCTGCTGCAGTGGCATCTCAGAACCTTCCTGGAGGCTGCAGCTGTGAGAGCCTTGAGTGTAGGAGTTACTGGGCTGTTCCACCCAGGGATATGCTCTAAATTTAGCATCCCTACAGGAAAAGGGGAAGGAAATTGGCCTTTATTGAGTACCTCTTATGCATTGTGTTAAATCCTTTACTTACGCAACCTATTTTTTGAGCATCTACTATAAGGCAGGCAGTGTGCTAGGTGCTGGCCATAAGCCAGACACGATTATCTTCTGTCATGGAAATGACATGCTCTTTTATATATTCCACACAGGAAACTTCCAAGATAGGTGTGTTCATTCCGGTTTACACACAAATCTCCTAGTGGCTTAGTGGCTGACCTCAGGTAGTCTCTCAGCCAGTCAACTATCTGAGACTTTATATCAAAATTGGCCTAACTCTGAAGCCTAAACACTTTCCATCCATCTCAGGTCCAGAGAGTAATAAAGTAACCTGGACAGATGGGCATAGAGAGCCAGAGATGCTGTTGGGTCAAAACATTCTTATGAAAGTGCTTATGCTGGGCTGTGGTCCTTGTATTGTTCAGGTAGCTGTGGGAAGGACAGTGCCTTTGTCACCAGTAGCAGGTTCCTACAAAGGTGTGGGTAGCCTCAGATTCCGGCACCAGTAAAACTCAGACATGGCAGGTGTCAAGTGGATATCAGTGTTTTCCCCCATCAAAATGGGCTTCTTGTTGGTTTTTTCATCCTTAAAGCCTTCGCAGGCCCTGCCAATAGATGACAGTGGTGCATGTGCAGGGAGGTGGCTTAATTGCAGGGTGATGCTCCAAGGATTGGAATTTCAGCCTCTAGCCACCCTACCACCTGCCTGAGTCACTTGGAGAAATGCTAAACCTGTTGGTCTCTCTTGTCTGTCTCTCCCACCTGTAAAATGCAATAATGATAGCCAGCTGCCATAGCTTGACTCTAGTAAAGGATCTAGAATAAAAGCCCTTCCCCTACCTTAATTGAAGGGTAGAAGCACTTCTTTTAATGAATGGGCTTCCTCCCTCAGGGAACTGAACTTTGTCCCTGGAGTTATTCCTTAAGAAAAATAACCAGTTCCGGAAATATTCACTAGAATGTTGTATGGGCTTTCCATTGGGAAGGTGGGTGAGGATGGAGGTGGTCCAGGGTATTTTGGATAGCTGTCCTTGGAGAAACTCTTGAGTCTGATGGAAGCACCATGGCTAAGAGCATTAAGCACAGGTGTGTGGGCAGAAAACATAACTTGGCCTTTCCCAGACTGCATGGATTTATGCTTCGTTGAAGCACCTCAGCTCCCTTTGCAAGTGTTGGCAATTCTGTGGTTTTCTTGGGGGAAAAACCCTATTAAGAAACCCCAAACATGGAAATTTTTAGTAATCTCATTCAGGTACCAAAATGAGGTACAAGTAACTTAGGGGCTCCCCCTTGGAACACCCACTTCTTCTGGGTGTACACTGTAGGTTGCTCTATGCCATCACAGGATTTTCCAGACTTCCTAGGAATAATTTCCCCAGTAGCCCAAAGGAGCCCTTCAGCTTCTGGTTGAAAATTACCCAGGTATTTTTTCATGGGGCCCCAGTAGAACCTGGAGGGTTTTCTTGGCTTTCTTAGGGGGCATCAACAGATTTGTTTGTGCTGCATGAAGCAGCAGTTGTTAGCTGACCCTTCCCTAGCGGATATCTGTCCTGAGGCCAGTGTGCTCAAGGTTCACCTCTATGCCCAACCTTCCTGGTTTTTCCAGCATCCCCAGCCTTCTGTCATGGGACTGTCTTTTTTAGCAATTGTGGTTTTGTCTGGGTTTAGTACTGCTTAAATAGATATGGGATAATTCCCAGTGTGCTGCTCTTCTACAGTAGCAGAATCTTCTACTGTCTTAATTTACTAAGGATTCTGTGCCCCACCTCAACCTCTACCCTAAGTTCATGGAGTCCTTCCCAATTCCCTCCATTTTCTTAGAGAGTCACACTGTCCTGGACCACCTTCTCAGCTGTCCCTGCAGCTCATAGTCTGTACCATTCCCACTTAGCCAACCTGAATCAGACAGTTCCACTGGATCTTTTTGTTTAGCCTGGGCAAGAGAAGACCCAGGAAAATATGTTGCTAGCTTTGCACACCTGTAATCCCAGCAAATTGGGTTGCTGAAGCAGGAGGATCACAAGTTCAAAGCAAGGCCCTACGCAACTTAGTAATAAGACCCTGTCTTAAAATTAAAAACAGTCTGGGGATATGGATCAGTGGTTAAGATCTCCTGGGTTCAATCCCAGGTACACACAAAAAAAGGGACTCCTCCTTTTTTTATTGGTATGATCCCCTACAAAACTGGCATAAATGGAAAGAGGCTAATAATGGTAGAGTTTTTAAGTTAGCACAGAGAAGATATTTCTCACAACTCCTATCTCAGGGTTAGGAGCTTCCTAAGGGTGGAGTCCACATCTTGTCCATACTTGTTTCCTTAGTTCTGAGCACAGGTCTTGGGCATAGCAGGCACCTAATGAGATACTCAATTTCCAAAGATACAGATTTGTTGGATCAGAGTAACAATTATGGCAAGGGCCCTTTTCCTAATCCTTCATTTGTTATTTGTTGTATACCAGGTTATCCTAAGTACTGGGGTATAGCAGTAAATAAAACTAAATTTCTA